GAGAGAGAGAGAGAGAGAGAGAGAGAGAGAGAGAGAGAGAGAGAGAGAGAGGGAGAGACAGACAGACAGACAGACAAACTGACTGATACAGTTACGGACACACAGACAGAGAGTATGGGAGAGATTGTAGATAGCAGGGTGTGGCTGCAAAGACGTGTTCCTGTTTTAACGAGTTTGTGAGTACATATACAGGGAAGGTTTTTATGCACATTTTGTACCGTTAAAGTGAAGAAATAAAGTTATTTGATTAACTGCCGTACACTATATGTGTTTATTGGTTTACTTGTGGGTTTTCTTTTTGTGTTAATAAACTCATCTTTTGTAAAATATACGTATGGTTTCATAGCTGTGTGTGTATAATATACATTTGTATATATTTTGTAAGGGCATCAACGTATAAGTTCTTGTGTAGATACAAATAATTATGCTTTCCTGGCTTAACGAGTGCGCGTGTACATACTGGGAATGTTTTATGCAAATTTTGTACTGCCAAAGCTAACAAATAGCAGGGTGTGGCTGCAAAGACGTGTTCCTGTTTTAATCGAGCGTGTGTACATATACAGGGAAGGTTTTTTAAAATGAAAATTATGTCCAGTTAAAGATAAGAAATAAAGTTACTTTATTGCTATAAAATGTCATGTGTGTTTATTGGTTTCCTTGTTGCTTTTAATTTTTTTTGTTTGTAAATAAACTCCACTTTTGTAAAAACATACGTTCTGGTTGTATTGTTGGTTTATTTGTTTATATGTGTGTATGTGTGTGAGTGGTGGCGTCTATCTATCTATCTATCTATATATCTACCTACCTATCTATCTATCTATCTATCTATCTATCTATCTATCTATCTATCTATCTATCTATCCTCTTGCACGTCTGCAGTATTGGGCTGTTGGCGATCAGGGGACACTACCCATACAATTGACTAGAATTCTATGGAGATTCTTTTGTTGTATCCCCTTTACTCTTGTCTGCACAATGAGCAGCCATGTTGCGAAATTCAATAATTGTAGGAGTGAACCAGCTAGTCTGGTGGTCAAGATCTCAGCAAGTTCACTGAACCAACAAGTCTGGTGGTCAAGATCTCAGCAAGTTCTCTTAGATTGACTCAACAGCATGTGTTTCTTGTACATGAAGAGGTCTAGGTTTATTATTGCTGTTTAAGATACAGCTACAACAACAACAATAACAACATCAACAACAACATCTCGAACACATGCAAACCTCTTAGTGCAGACCTCGTTTTTAGTTTTAGTTAAAGATTTTTTAATGGTCCTTGCAACACAGATAGATGATAGTATATTAGCTGGAGATTAGAGGTATTATGAGAGAGAGTAATAACAAAGCAAAGAGGACGGGTTGGTAATGAGGGTGATCGATGTTTGACAGGAAAGAAGAAGTATCCCACACAGTTGCACCCGCCAACCACGCACGCATACCTACAAGTGTGAACATAGTCTGACTCATTCGGATATGTTTTTGAAATTCAATAAAATTCTCTAAATGATTGGCAGGAGCAGAATTTGATAGTGACCATGTACCAGCCATGTGCAAAATGCAGATGGGACTGAAAAAACCGTTTAAGAGTCAAAGTAGCAACCTAAATTTGAAATAAGGCTTTTTAGAGACAAATCAAACATTGAAAAACATGTTTTTTGTAAATTGATAATAGCAATACATTTCAAGGTCTGGAAAACATTACTTAATTGGAAGAACTATGGGAAAAATAAAAGATTCAATGAAAGAAGCAGTGAAGCGATACAGGCTGCACATACTAGGAGTCAGCGAAACCCCCTGGATACAATCTGGACAGAAGCAGCTCAGCTCGGGGGAATTAATACTGTGTTCTGGGAGGGAAGACAAGCAGGTAGGTGTACTTTTTTGACACATACAGTGATCTTTGTGTCGTTGGTAGCTAATGGTAAGGTTCTCAGACTTGCAACCGCAAGGTCGTGGGTTCAAATCCCATTTGGGACCCAACGCTGTGTCCTTGGAAAAGGCACTTTACACGAATCTTCCTCACTTCACCCAGGAGGGACTGTGTAACCAGCTATAGAGTCTTTTGCTGCATGCTTCCCAGAAAGATTATAATGCTTTGGGATGTTCTGTTGTCTGCTGATGTATTAATTTAGTGTAAGGCAGAGATATGCGCTATACAAATGCTATTATTATTATTATTTTTATTACTATTATTATTATTATTATTATTACCATCATTATTATTATTTCAATTGTTATTTATTCTATTAGTATTATTACTAATAGATTATTATTATAATTATAATTATAATTATAATAATATTATTATTATTATTATTATTATTATTATTATTATTATTATTATTATTATTATTATTATTATTATTATTATTATTATTATTATTATTATTATATTTGTGTGGTTAATCGGGTGCTCTGGTGTGGTTTGCTTCTTCTTTCCTATCGAACATCTATATTCCTTATCTCCCCTTCTTTTTTCTATTTGTTACTCTCTTGTAACACCTCTAATCTTCTGGCGCTCATATGAGCTTTTGCAGTTGCGAACGCCGTTAAACCTCTACTTAAACAATAACTATTATTACTATTATGATTATAAGTAGTAGTAGTAGTAGTAGTAGTAGTAGTAGTAGTAGTAGTAGTAGTAGTAGTAGTAGTAGTAGTAGTAGTAGTAGTAGTAGTAGTAGTAGTAGTAGTCGTACTAGTAGTCGTAGTAGTAGTAGTAGTAGTAGTAGTAGTAGTAGTAGTAGTAGTAGTAGTAGTAGTAGTAGTAGTAGTAGTAGTAGTAGTAGTAGTAGTAGTAGTAGTAGTAGTAGTAGTAGTAGTAGTAGTAGTAGTTGCACACAGCTACCTGTGTCTGCGATAGCCAAGAGCAAACAAAGTGTGAGTCTTGACGGTTTGGTCCACGAGGTAGACGTTTCATTATTTTGGATTTTGGTTCAGTTGAAAAGAAGACAACATTCCTTTTCAATTAATAATGATATATGTGGGCATCCGAGGAAACGAGCAGGTAAACGACCTGGCGAAGAAATCCTCATCCCTACTGTTGTGATCAACGACGAACACTCTCCCACAGACTGACTTAACAAAATAAAGTCAAAAAGTACACCTCCAGTTTGTGGGAGAGCCACTGGAAAAAACCAGGAGAAACAGTAGAATGTTGAGACGTTTTCTGTCACTCAATTTTTTTTTATACATCAAAGAAATTTTCTCATTAAAGTTTCTCTTCAACAAAAGGGTTTGTGTTGTGATAAAGGCTTGTCTATATCATACCACCTTCACCACTCCTAGCGGTCACCCATTGTCCAGTTTTCACACCTGTGCCGGTTACGACG